GTGAGGGGATAGGTAAGTATACATCTAAGATACATTTTCAGGTAAGAAAAATATTAACTTCAAACTATGTTAGTTACTAGTCCACAGAACAGATAACTACAATCCCACAGTGACAAGATAGTGGAAAGACTGGTGTAAAGAAAGAAATTAAAAATATGAGCTCCTTTCTGAAATCACAATGTCATGAAAGGAAAACACATCAAGCATGTCACCCACATGGAGAAGTTGTGGGATGAAGTGGGCATCACTTGGTGGGAAACCACATCTTTCTCATGCAGAGAATAGTTTGCCCAATAAAGGTGGGTGACCAAAAGGTACTATCAAAGGAATTTTGTGTATGGTGCTAAAGTACGGGTGGAATGTAAGATTGCTCAACAGACCATAATATCTCACACAGTCAGCTGTGCATGGATGCATAGTATGGCTAGGGCAATAAATCAGGTCATAAATGATGTGAAAAATACATGAAAAATGTACTACAACAAGTAGATGCAGGGAAAAACATCCTTAATCAAGTGCAAGAACCATATGGATGGCCTAATAAAAAGGAATGGCTTGATTGATAGTGTTGTGGAATGGCCTGCACTACAGTTCCAGGAAACACTCCTGTCCTGTTACTCAATCAAGAGAGTACATTCACTAGGTCTCACACCAGTGGGGTTTGATCAAAGGGGACTTTTGATATCAACCTCCCAAGTCGCTTAGGACTGGGAAAGCAAGGGTTCTCCCTTTACTCCAACAAAATAAAACAGAAGGGAGGAATTAGCTTATGGGAGAACACCTGAGAGGTGTTCAGACTATACAGGAAACATCAAATCTGCATATGGTCACATACTGACAAACTGTGTAACACATTACCATGAATAAGAACAACTTTAAAGGTACGATATGTACATGAAGGTGTGTGTCCACATATATATATGACAATAAGTTGACAACCTGGACCGATAACAGTAATGAGATATATACGTTGAAGTATTCTTTCATAAAACCCCATCTTAAAAGTGAACAATAATCAGTGGCAGAAAGGCTGAACACTGTTATACGTTATTCAATGCAGATTTTGGAAGAGAAAAGTATTCCCTGCAAGACAACATTAGTCACAAGGTGGATTATATTACTCTATTGTATCCATAATCTGTTCTTAGAGCCTCTGTGAAGATTGGAGAATGGTGACTGGAATGAGACAAAAACCTAAGGTAGCTGTAACTGCAATGTGGTGAAAGTAATGTGAGACAAAGGTTCTGAGGTTCCACATCCCCACACACACCTTCAAAATCTTAACAAGTGGACATCAATGGCTAGAGACAAGGGAACCCATGGGATGACAAATGCGAATAGGAGGAGACAATTATAAATATTAAACATGTCATCACCCATAGAAGAATAAATTAACCAGATAAGCTGTTTAACCCAACTGGTCAAAGTGAATGGAAATAAGTCATAAGAAGAAGAATTTCACAGTGAGAAAAGATGGGTTCCGTTGCCTTGAAAGGTGACAGAACAATCACACAGAGAAGAGAGGTTAGGGAAGGCAAGTGAAGAAACATCTGATTACCTGTCCAGGCAACCCAGCCAGGAAGTGTTCAAGATAAAAATGTCACAGTGGCATCTCCTGCAAGCAAAAAGGAGAAGAAATATGTTGTAAAAGAATGGTGGCATAGGAAACAGATGGTAAAAGGACCAAACACAGGAAATATAAGAGCCTCGAGAACTACACTCATACTAATAAATTGCGAGGGTGGATGGCCAACAAAAGCAAGCAAGAAGACAGGCTACTCTACAAGAAAAACCTGCACATCTTCAAGGGATCAGAGAAAAACCACTCATGAAGTTATGGCACATCATGGCAAAAGATGAACATCTACGCTGATGTTAAGGGGACATTCAAGGTTCAAAGTGTAGGAAATTCAGAAGTTCCTACACTTGAAATTTTGAAATTTCATATGCAAAATCTTTATAATGTCCAGATAGTTATCAAACG